AGAAAGGGTTGAACAGGGTGCGTCCTGGCATTGAGACGGTGGCTGCGAGGCAGGGGAATGCTTGCTTGAACAGGCTGATGTTTGCCTCCACTTCGCCAGGAACAAAGCTCCCAAGGGATGGGACAAGCACGGCGCGCGCGCGAGTCACCCAAGTCCTTGCGGGTCAGGATGTGGTCTATGAGGCTATTGCCCTGAGGAGAGTGGAAGGTGCAGCGGGCCCTTAACGTCCACGAGTTGAGGTGAAGAAGTTGATGGTTGGTGAGGATATCCTGCAGCTTTTTCTGGTCCGGGACTGCTCGGGCCGGCATGACCCGTACACGGCTACCTACCAAGCCGGGGATGCCCTGAACCCCGGTGTTAAAGTCCCCTGCAACCACCCACACATGGCGTAAGGGCAGCGTGCTCAGGGCCTGTTGGAGGCAATCCCAAACTCGGCGTCGAGCGTCGAGGTAACTAGGCTGACCTGTTGGTGCGGCACCAGATTGGTACACTTTCTGATAGACATGCAGAATATCAACATTTGTGGAGCGAAGCTCAAGCCGAACATGCTGCAATCTACCTGGCACAAGCGTGCTGAAGGATATCTGGGTCTCCGAGCAAACACTGCGATGCACCAAAGTGAGGAGCCCGCCAGAGGATGGGGGGTCACAAGGGTCCGAGATGACCCGCCAGCTGCCTGTGTTATACTCGGAGGCAGTGGCCCAGTGGCTTTCCTGAACAAGCATAACATGGGGACGAGTTTGGGGCGGCATGGCCTCCAAAGCCTGGAGCAATTCCATGTACGCTTCACTGCTCAGGCCACCCGAGTTCCAAGAGAGCACACGCAACCTAGGATCAGAGGGGCAACCCTGTCGAGTAGGAGTGGGAGAGAGCTTGCGTCCAGAGGGCACAGTGGGAGCACTCGGCTGAGCGAGCGACCGAAGAGTGTGCCAACGGCCCCGGTACCACGTGCCTTGTTGGGGAGAGGCAGAGGCTCTGGCAACAGCACGATTGTATGCTCGTTTGTGGGCAAGTCGGGACGAGGCCGGGACAGCGTCACTGAGAACCGTCTGTTGGAGGAAGCAGGACGCCCAGAGTAAAGGCCTCAGCAATGGACCAACTTGGGGAGAGAGTGCATAGGATCTATAGGTATCAGTGTGAACCACAGTCTCATGGCCACGCGTGGCAGCAAGAGACAGAACAGCATCAAATGGCTCAGGCCCAAGCTTCCCAGCGTGCCCAGGTCCACAGGCGGTAGCCGTCGTGTGAGCTTCATTTATCAGACCTGGGCAGACTGGTGCAGAGGTGGATGGGCAACCAACCTCAACCCTCGCATCTATAGTCCCATGCCTATCAACACTACCAGTGAGTGAACCCAAAGAGCGGAGCCTAGGTAACTCCGGCAGGGCAATGCACGGGGGACTATCCTCAGACTTGGGACTGAGGAGGCTCGGTGTGTTCAGGAGGAACCTGGTAAGGCCGGAGCAGACATGAAAGGCCTGGTGTAGGTCAAGGAAGGCTTGAGCCAGCATGACCATACAAGCAGACCACTGCTCAACCCAAGCCCATGAGGCACAGGCAAGCCATCCAGCAAAAGCAGGCCAACACAGTTGCAATGCTGAAGGCATGTTTGGCAACGCGCAACCTGACTTCCTGCAGCGTCGTCGCCTCATACCTCGGGCATAGGCGCATGGGAGTTTACGCACCCAGGGCGCACGAGGGCAGCTCAGGCCCAGGCAGGCGCAAAAGGGCCCCTGCTCCGGCAAGGGCTCAGTCCATCGTGTCCGGCCAGGACGGGTTTGACCTAAAAACCGTGGGTTAGGAAGGGGCTTATTCAGGGTGACGAGGCCTAACCTAGGGCGTGTCTGAGCTAATGCATTGCCTGTCAGAGGCACAACATGTCGGGGCATGGCTCCCACCTGCAAAGTGAGAAACATGTCCTTGCCTAGACTACTGAGCTGGAGCGCGTTGCTCTGCCGCGGCCATTCTGTCGGAGGCCCATGCCTGGACCCATGGATCACAGGCAAAGGGGAACTAGGGGTGGGTTTGCTAGGGTCGTGACTGCAGGAATTGTTTGGAGTGCTGCGCCAAGCACCTCTGCTTGTCATGGGATCTGCTATGTGAACCAGGGCACAAGTGGGCATATGAACCCCAGCTAAGAGCCCAGCCCAATGCAATGGGTGTGAACCACCCAATCCTAGCCAAGAGGGACTGGACTCGAGATGCACACGAGCAGACCTGGACAGAGGGCATGCGCTCTGCACACCCTGCAACCACCTGTGTACGTTCCTTAATTGGGTCAATGTTAACTGGTTAAGGGACTGCAGACAACCCTGGGTACCCCTGACACAACCCCCCAAAGCGGTCAGGACTACACCCTTTGACAACCTGATGGCAGGCACGAGTTCCTCCTAAAGACTTCGAGGCGTCTAAGGGGGGGTAATGTTGTGCGGCCCGGCCTGACTCCCTGCGATGGGTGCGACGGGTGCTGAAGCTCGGCGCACACAAAGCCGATGACGCTGGCTGCGGCCAAGGTGAGGCCAGTGCATCCCGACCAAGTTTGACCCAAGTCTCGGAGCTGCGCATGAAAATGAAGTACCAGAGCATGACGCGGATCGCGGCCTCAGTATTGTTAAGCTGGTCGTCGCGGCACTCTGCAAAGAGGTCGCCCCATCTTCTCCCCATGTGCAGATTGGAGTGACGTCGCTATGTGTACCCCTCCAGTGTGGTGGCCCTGTTCCATACTGAGCGACAAGCGCACAAGCAGATCGCCATGTCCAGGCCAAGGAGGCGGTAGCCAGCAACATGAAGAGGTGTATCAGCATTTTGCAGAAGGACATCCATTGCATGACCCACGAAGCAACCCTCCGAACAAAGAACAACCCCGCACGCGAACCGACGAAACACTCCCAGGGGGTCCCGCCTGTAGAGCCTAGATGCTTAGGGTTTAGGGTTTAGGGTTTAGGGTTTAGGGTTTAGGGTTTAGGGTTTATAGAAATTGTATAGGGTTTGAGTCCGGAGTTTTGGGGGGGTTTTGCGGGGTTTTGTTTTTTTAACTTTTGTTGTTTTTTTTTTGGGGGGGGGGGTTTGGATGGAGGGGCAGCGCGGGGTTTGTCGGGTTTTGCCGGGTTTTGCCGGGATTTGCCGGGTTTTGTCGGGTTTTGTTTTTTGCTTTTGCTCCAACGATTGCTGGGGCTGGGGCTGGGGCTGGGGCTGGGGTGGAGCTGGGGCTGGGGCTGGGGCTCGGGCTGGGGCTGGGGGCTGGGGCTGGGGCTGGGGCTGGGGCTGGGGCTGGGGCTGGGGGGTCCAATACTGCGAATCTGCGCAGCTCTTCTGCCTCCCACCGGGCCGTGAAGAGGGCGTCGTGATCCAGCAACATTAGGATCGCCCCTGGTGCCAAAATCCTGAGAACGGTCAGAATTTCGGGGGCGGCCCACGTGAAGTGCACTGCAGAGAGGGGAAACCACTTTTCTTTGTAGGTGCCCTCCCATTGCTCTTGGATTGGGGCCTTTTGGGGGGCTTCCTGGGGGCTTTCCTGGCCCTGCCGGATGGATTACATTTTTCATTGCGGGTACGGGCATCCTGGGGTCCCCCTTCTTTTAGGGGGCCTTTTGAAGCCTTTTGAAGCCTTAGGCTTTATTCCTTTGAAGGTCAGGGAACCTACTAATTTTTTTCGCCAATGAGTATTTCAATCGCTAGGGTTAAAGCTGGGGTTCGGGGTAGCCTCGGCCCTTTTCGGGCCTTCGGCACGTTAGGGCCCGTAGAGGCCCTTATTTGCTTGAAGGGTTTTGCGGTGTTAGGGTTTGAGCTGGGGTTCGTGGTAGCCTCGGCCCTTTTCGGGCCTTCGGCACGTCAGGGCCCGTAGAGGCCCTTGCTGATTTGAGGGCTTCCTGGGACTTTTTTGGTCTTTTGGGGTGAAATGGAGGGGTGCGCAAAGCCATCGATTTCAGTTACCCGGATGCCCTTGGCCGCCCTTGGCCCTGGGGCCAGGGGGCCCTTGGCCCGGAAGGCCCTTGGTCCCGGACCCGGAAAATTGAGGGAAAAGCACGAAACCGAGCAACCAGCCTGCTCGCCAGCCTCCTGGTCCAGGAATCCAGCTACCAGGGGCCAGGGGCCCCCGGTCTGGATGCCGGCCATCCCTTAGCCGAGTACTGACGTTGTCGCAAAAAAGGCCGATGTCCGTTGGCCTGTCCAGGACAGACGGTGAGGCTTAACCCTCACCTTTCCGTTTCTCTTTTCGCTTGGGCGCTCGGGCTGTAAGGCCCTCGGCCGAGCGTGCGGGGTCTGTCGCTCGACGGAAGCGACCCCTCACTTAGTTTAGGGTTTAGGGTTTAGGGTTGAGGGTTAAGGGCTTAGGGCTTAGGGTTTAGGGTTTAGGGTTTAGGGTTTAGGGTTTAGGGTTTAGGGTTTAGGGTTTAGGGTTTAGGGTTTAGGTCATGGGTACAACCACAGTTACAAGTCTACTTAGAACCTACTTAGGGGACTTAATTAGGGGGCTTGTAAGTACAGAAATATAATGAGGGTTATAAGTACCCTGAACCGCCAAGTAGGGCTGAGGTTTGTAGCCCTAAACCCTGAAACCCTAAACCCTGAACCCTGAACCCTAAACCTCAACCCAAAACCTAAAACCCTATAAAGGTTTAGGGCTTGGGGGCTGGGGGTTGAGTGTCGAGTTTCCGAGTTTTTGGAGGGGGGGGGGAGGGGGGGGGAGGGGGAGGAGGGGGGGAGGGGGGCGAGGGGGAGGAGGGGGGGGGGGGGTGGGGGAGGAAACCGGCGGGAAGATCTCGCGTCTTGGAGAGCCCAAGCGGCAGCCCCCATAAGTGTAGGGTTTACAGGTTTAGGGTGGCGAACGCATCCCAAAACCCTTAACAACATCCCCAAAGCCCAAACAAACAACTGCTTGAGTTT